GAGTGGGCACTGTGGTGCTGAAGCTGACTTCTGAAAAGGAGTTGAAGCTTAAGGATGTTCTGCATGTCCCAGACATCCGCAAGAATTTGGCTCCGGATCTCTTCTTGTTGAGCATGGATTTAGGCTAGTATTTGATGCTAAGAAATTTGTTCTTAGTAAGCTTGGAACTTTCCTTGGTCGTGGCTATCTCGACAAGGGTATGTTTAAAATGAATGTAATGGCCGTGAGCCGTGTAACCGTTTTAAATGATAATGAAAAGCCTATTTCTGTTTATACCGTTGAGTGCTCTGATTTATGGCATATTAGATTGGGACATGTAAATCGAAATGCAATTAAACAGTTGATGAATTTAGAATTAATTCCTAATTCTAAAATTGAATCACATAAGAAATGTGAGATTTGTATTGAAGCAAAAATGGCTAAGTTGCCTTTTCACTCGGTAGAAAGGTGTACTGAACCATTAGGCTTAATCCATACTGATGTATGTGATATGAAAAGTGTGCAAACAAGAACAGGTAAAAAGTATTTTATTACTTTTATCGATGATTGCACAAGGTTTTGCTACTTATATTTATTAAGAAGCAAAGACGAGGCTGTGGAAGCATTTAAAATCTATAAGACCGAAGTTGAAAATCAACTCGGCAAAAGGATTAAAATAATCCGAAGTGATAGGGGTGGGGAGTATGTAGCTCCTTTTGAACAAATATGTTCCGAATATGGCATAATTCATCAAACGACTGCCCCTTATTCTCCACAGTCAAACGGTGTTGCTGAATGCAAGAACCGTACTTTAAAAGAAATGATGAATGCCATGTTGATAAATTCAGGATTACCCCAAAACATGTGGGGGGAAGCTGTTTTAACAGCAAATCATATCCTGAATAAAATACCACCTAAAGGGAAAGATGAGACTCCTTACGAAATATGGAAAAATCGTAAGCCGTCTTATAAATACCTAAAAGTGTGGGGGTGTTTGGCTAAGGTTTCAGTACCGGAACCCAAACAAATGAGAATCGGGCCAAAGACGGTTGATTGTGTATTTATTGGATATGCGTACAATAGTACAGCATATAGATTTCTGGTTCATAAATCAGAAAATCCAGAGGTATCTGTTGGTACCACGATTGAGTCGAGGAATGCTATGTTCTTTGAGAATATATTTCCTCTAAAGGAAAGGGCAGAATCTAGTTCTAATAAACGAACATATGAAACTGCTAGTGGTTTTGTACCAGATGGTACTGATGAAGAACCGAGACGTAGTAAAAGGTTAAAAACGGCGAAAACGTTTGGACCTGATTTTATTACGTATATGTTGGACGATGTACCAAGTTCCCTTAAGGAAGCTCTGTCCAGCCCAGATGGACCACTCTGGGAAGAAGCTGTAAATAGCGAAATCGAGTCCATTATGCAGAACCATACTTGGGAGTTGGTTGATCTCCCTGATGGTTGTAAACCTTTAGGATGCAAGTGGATCCTAAAGAAGAAATATAAAGCTGATGGATCGATTGATAAGTTTAAAGCACGATTGGTGGTCAAAGGCTTTAAACAAAAGGAAGGGTATGATTTCTTTGATACCTATTCACCAGTTACGCGTTTAGCGTCGATAAGAGTGCTTCTCTCGATTGCTGCTTTGCACAATCTTGAGATTCACCAAATGGATGTCAAGACGGCATTTTTAAATGGTGAATTGGAAGAAGAAATATACATGGAACAACCTGAAGGGTTTGTTGCACCTGGACAAGAGAGAAAGGTGTGTAGATTGATCAAATCCTTGTACGGACTGAAACAAGCTCCGAAACAATGGCATTTGAAATTTGATGACGTGATGTTGTCAAATGATTTCAAAATCAACGAATGTGACAAATGTGTTTATGTCAAGAGTACATCAAATGCATTTGTGATTGTATGTCTATATGTAGACGATATGTTGATCATGGGGAGTAGCCATGAAGTGATCATGGATACGAAAAGAATGTTGAAAAGAAATTTCGACATGAAAGATATGGGTTTGGCTGATGTTATTCTTGGAATAAGGATTATCAGAACCCAAGATGGAATTGTCTTGTCACAATCTCATTATGTAGAGAAAGTGCTCAAGAAATTTGATACCTATGACGGTGCACAGTCTAGGTGTAAGACACCCATTGATCTTAGTATAAATCTGGTAGCCAATAAAGGTCAACCAGTGGCTCAGTTGGAATATTCACGGATAATAGGGAGTCTGATGTACTTGACGAATTGTACACGACCAGACTTGGCCTACCCGGTGAATAAGTTGAGTAGATTTACGAGCAATCCCAGTCATGAACACTGGAATGCTTTGAGAAGGGTACTTAAGTACTTAAGGTACACTCTTGAATACGGGCTAAAATACTCGAGATACCCAGCCGTACTTGAAGGGTACTGTGATGCAAGCTGGATATCAGATTCGAGAGATTCTCGCTCCACTAGCGGATACGTTTTCTGTATTGGAGGAGGTGCAGTTTCGTGGAAATCCACAAAACAAACGTGTATAGCTCGGTCAACGATGGAATCGGAGTTCATAGCTTTAGATAAAGCTGGTGAAGAAGCCGAGTGGCTTAGAAATTTTTTATCCGATATTCCATGTTGGGATAAGACTTTGCCGCCTGTGATGATTCACTGTGATAGCCAAGCTGCTATAGGAAGGGCGCAAAGTAACTTGTATAACGGTAAGTCTAGACATATTCGTCGTAGACATAATAGTGTACGACAATTGATCACAAATGGTGTTATTTCCATTGACTATGTGAAGTCTAAGGAAAATTTGGCTGATCCTTTGACGAAAGGATTGAATAGAGATCAATTGGTAGTTTTGCTAGAGGGAATGGGCTTAAAATCCCACAATGAAAAGAATGATCATAGTAGTAACCCTACCATGCTGAGTGGAGATCCCATGAACATGGTTCAAAGGGAAAACTAAGCTATGAAAATTCAGTTGAACACTTGGAACATATGAATGTTCAACGCTATTCCCTAGAGAACTCCAAGTGAAAGTTGACCTGTTGATTGTGGTGAGGGTAAGTCATGTGGACTTTTAATGAATCCCTAACCTTGTAAAGGTGGAGTAATACAGGGTACTCTTGATAGGGAAGTCACCTATATAAGTGTGAAGTGTGGGCCGCTTCTATTGTAAACACTTATGAATCCAAAGTGATGTCCATGGCCAAAACGGACACAACGATAGAACGGAATGGAGTTAAGACTCTATTGTGTGAATGTCATTGTCTTGGTGTACACTATGGAGGAATAGTTCAAGGCATTATGTCCACTAGGCCGCCAGTGCATCCGATGATATTTACTACGAAAGGTTCAAAGCCAAAAGCTACCTTTTCTGATGCAATAGAGTTTTGTGAGGATTGAGCACGCTAGTATATATATATATATATATATATATATATTTAGTTTACACTCATGTGGGGGATTGTTTTAATAATTGAGTGTAAATGATTGTACAACTTGGATTATTGGTTGGCAAAGTTGACTTTAATTATTGATCAAAATTATTGCAAATAATTGATCATAATTATTACAAAGAATTGATTCCCAAGCAACTTGATTAGCATTTTCTCATCTATAAATAGAGTCTCTGCTCATTTGAGAAGACACACAGAAAGAAAGAAAGAAACACGGTAGAAGAGAGGAAAGAATAAAGGGAAGAAAAATAATAATAATAATAATAATAATAATAATAATAATAATAATAATAAGTTTAAGAAAAAAAAATAGAGAAAATTATCTTATAGATAATTTTATTTTTTAGTGCTCAATTCTCGACTCCGTTCTAGTTCGCCGGAGCTCGTAAATCTGGTGTGCTACAAATTTAGAGACGTTTGCCGTTGTATCTTTGGGGAAGTTACGCCTGAACCGTTAGCTGCCACACGGGGCATATTCTTCTTGCGGAAAGAGTTTTACTCGCCTCGGCTTTAGGTTTTAATTTATTTTCCAATTGTAATTTATTTTTTCAATTCTATTGTAATTTTCTACTTTTTAGATTATTTGTAAGAACTGAAAAATACATATCAGTTCGTAGAATTCCGTGTAATTTTTATACCCAGTTGATAACACTACCTGGGTCGAGTGATGTGAGAGGATGAGGTGAGTGCAGTCCCCTCCTTCTGCAAACGCTAAACAGAGTTCAGAACAATCTGTCACGGCCACGCTCGTGTTTTGTTGCCTCAACTTGGTTGTCTCGAGAGAAGGGAGTAAGTGTTGTGGGTATGGGTCACATTGCGGCAAACAAGCCTTGCCTTGCATATATCGTGGGCCGGGACACGGTCAAAAATGTTTGACAACAATCATCTGATAGAGCCCCATTGATGTTTTTTTCACCATTCATCTGATCTTCGCTGATTTCTGGTCGGAGGATTCCCTGCTTCTGCTTCTCCTCAGGCTGGTGGGAACGGCGGCTGGGGCCGGGTTCATGCGGCGGGGACATGTTCTGTTCCGTCTTAATTAGGTCGTGCTGCCAATTTTTCTCCTCCAGTATTATTTGATTAAAATCAAATCAAATAATTCCCTTGTAGATATGGTGAGATTTTATGCCCCTAAGTAAGCCCTTTTCACGCCACCTAGTCCTCATAAGACTAAGAAAATTATTTTATTATTTTCCCTTCTTATTAATTCCTTTCTCTCCTCCCCATCGATCAAGATTTTTCACGCGTCTGAATAAGATAGAAGAATTTCCATCAGATAGAAGAGTTGTGCACGCCTCTTAATCGTTCCAACCTCTGATGATGAAATCGATACGCTCACCATGAATTGTTCAATTTCCGGTGAGGTGCCGGAGGAGCCCGTTCGAAAAACGCTTAATCGAGCGCCACATCTCGGATTATGGAGAATGTCCAATTACTGGTGAACCATTAACAGTGGATGATATTGTTCCAATCAAGAGTGGAAAGATAGTGAAGCCCCGGCCAGTGCAGGCTGCAAGTATTCCTGGGATGCTGGGATTGTTTCAGATCTAATGGGAGGATGGCTTGATGCTTTCAAATTTTGCGTTGGAGCAACAATTACATACTGCCAGGCAAGAACTAAGCCATTCTCTATACCAGCCTGATTGCTTCTGGTTTGTGCCTCATTCAGTATCTTCTGAGGGCTACACATCTGCAGCTTTTCATCCTGATGGCCTTATCCTTGGAACGGGTACCTCTGGTTCTCTTGTTAAGATTTGGGATGTCAAAAGTCAGCAAAATGTTGCTGGATTTGACGGGCATGTTGGGGCAGTTACTGCCATTTCATTCTCGGAGAATGGTTATATGCTGCTGCACAAGATGGGGTTAAGCTATGGGATTTACGTAGATCGAACAACTTTAGGACATTTGCTCCATATGATGAAAACACACCCACGCAATCAGTTGAATTTGACCATAGTGGAAGTTATCTTGCCCTAGGAGGAGGGTCTGATATAAGAGTATATGAAGTTGCCAACGTCAAATCTGAATGGAACTGCATTAAGACATTCCCTGACTTGTCTGGCACAGGTAAAGCAACTTGTGTCATATTTGGTCCTGACGCAAAATACATAGCTATTGGATCCATGGATAGAAACCTCAGATCATTTGGGCTGCCTGAGGGGGATGGTGACCCATTAGAATCTTGAAGCAAAAATACGCAAATGCACCGGTATTAGTTTTTTTTCAGCTGGAGGGGTCTGCTGCAAATTGCCATCTTAATTTAGTGGGCTAAAGTGACTTGGAGATGTTGGAGTTTGTTTATAGCTTGACAAGGTTTTGTTTAGTCCACGAAATCATCGATTTTTGGGTGGAATATAGCTAGACTTTCCCTACCAACCTTGATGAGTTAATTTTCATTTTGTAAACCTATTGTGGATGGACAACTTGTATGATTAGAATATTGACTTGAAAGGAGTGGTTCTTTCTGCTACTTTTCTCTAAGATTATTACACTGTTATTGATGTACCAGTTATCAGTAATATCTAGAATGTGTCTGATTTGATTAAGGAATATATCAAAAAAAAAAGAGAGAGAGAGAGAGAGAGAGAGAGAGAAGCAGAAATTCCGTACCTTCAGCCGAGCCGAGCAGCACCCCGTTGTCTTCATCATTCTTCACTATTTTATGCTCGAGTTAAGTATAGTTGTTCTATTTTGTCGGTTGAATCGAAACATGTTGATTTCGGTTGTTTTCTCCGATTCTTTTGTCGTGTTGTGACTTGTGGTGTTGCTTTGTGACATTCATGGAATTGGAACTCTCGTGTGCCTACTTTTTTGTGGAAACCTTGCGAAATGTCGATCATCGATGTATTATTCGAGCCCTCGTCTTGTGTAGTTGGCTTTCGTTTAAGTGCTGAGTTTTGAAAACCCTATTTGAGACCTTCGTACTGTTTGCTGTTCTTTGCTGTTTTTGACCTCTTAAACTCGGTCGAATGGCTTTGAACTCTTCTGATGAATTAAAGTTCAGTCTGTTATGTTTCATCTCCAATAAGAATCGAGTGAATATCAATTTTGTGCTGGAAGTTATTGCCAAAATTCGATAGTTGCGCGTCCAGTTTTCTGGATTTTCGATACTGCACGTAGTCTGTTTTCCTTGCTATTTTTGAGTATTGTAACCTTGTCGTCTCTGGAGTCTTCACATAAATTGTAGTTCAGTGTGTTATCTTTCTTGTGGAAATTAAATGTATATTTATCATTTATATATTGCAAATTATGTTGAAAGTTCGATCGTTGCGCAATCGGTTTTTGTTATTAACCGTGGTCGTTCAAATCTGTTTGTTCCTTGCTGTTTTTGGCCATCATTTTTAAGTCGAAAGTTTTTGAAGTCTAAACGTGTTTTGTAAATCTGTCTCCGGTGCTTCTAAGGGCACCAAAATCATCCGAATATCATTTTTATATAAAAAGTTACGTCCGATTTTCGATCATTGCTCGAGCAGTTTTTCTTCAAATTTGGCTGCAGTTTGTGGTTTAATGTTGATCGGTTTTCACCCCTTTAACTTGCTCGTTTGCATTCGAGGTCTTCACGAAAAATGTAGACCTATCTCTTGGCTTTCCGTAACTTTTCAAATCAGGCCAAAATGCTTTCTACATGAAAAATTATCTTCGTTTTACGGAGACTGCGCGCAGAAAAACTATCCGTTTTTCATCAACTTAGTTTTTATGTTACCACTCGTCCGTTTTTGGGCCGTTCGACTTGTTTTCGAGCCGAATGCAAACGACGAGTGGGCTGTTCATTGCATGATATTGACCTGATTAATTGCTTCTGCATTATTAATGAACTTGTCTATGATGAACTTGTTTAGTATTTTCGAACATGATGATGTTTTGAAAGTTATGATAATATGACGAACCTGATGATTGTTTGAACATGATGATAAGATGAGGAACTTGATGATATGTTTGCGTTTATTATGATACGACGATTATGATTGCCGTTCTATTCAGAATTTTTCTCATTGATGATGATTATATTATGATGAAATGATTATGATGATTTGGTCCTATATGCTAAATTGGGTAATGAATTCCCGTAAGTTCAAATATAATTTGAATTGTTTATGTGAAATGAATGAGTAACGTCAATAAATGTTTTAAATCGAAAAATGAATTTTTAAAATTTTAAACCTTGATTTTTGGAAAAGTCCGAAATTTCCTTTAAAAATCAACGGGGCGTTACAATGTACGTGTAAATAATAGTTATGAGAGATTGATACAATGCAATAATTGAGAAGAAAATAAGTATGTAAAATCGAAAGGGTGATTTTTCAGTAATTTTCATACATGTTTTTCGGTGCATTATATGTTGAATTTATACATGAATAAAATGAAAAGACAATGATTGTCGTTTTCCAATTGAGGGGTTGGATTCTCAACATGCTCAACATGTAGGGTTTAACATAATAATCTTTCATTAGCTCATTCGTGGTAGGGGTGTGCATTTAGTCGAAACTGAACCGAACCGACCGAATTTTCGGTTAACCGCAAATTCGGTTTTGTCCAATATTAAAACCGAAAACCGAACCGAAATTTATGATTTGTTCGCTTTCGAACCGAAAATCTATCGGTTTTATCGATTCGGTTATCGGTTATCCGAAAAATGGAGAAATGACAAAAAGAAATCTACAATTCTTGATTTGCGGCCCCGTACGAGCGGATTTGGGTGGCGAACTCATTTGAAAAGACGGGCGTCGCCGTCGAGTGTCGGCCTACCGGGTGGAGCTTGTGGTGTGCTTATTATGTGGCTCTTTTTCCACTTTTGTTTAGGACTTCGGAAATTTTTTTGAGAATTGGGTGGGTCACTGCGTGAGGGCAACTGGAAGTATGTATGGCAGAATGGAGATAAAATTGACGACAAATATATGTATGGGAGAATGGAGATGAGTATATGACAAATCACAGATGAGTGGGGATTGGATTTGGGCCAGGCACGTGGTGGACCTATTGGTGGGTGGGCCGTGGGTGGCATTGGACTTGGGCCTGTGGGTATTTAATAATATATCATTGGACCTTTATAATTTTTATGTATATATATCGGTTTTCGGTTCGGTTCGGTTAACCGAGAGATTATATCCAAACCGAACCAAAAATTGAAATATTAAAAAAAATAAAAACTAAAAACCGAACCAAATATTCGGTTTCGGTTTCAATCGGTTAACCATATTTTGGGCACCCCTAATTCGTGGACATCATCAGACTAACGCACATGGTGCTGCAAATATTCGAACAACACACCATGCATGCAACATCACCATCCAACTTACCCAGACTATTGGCCCAGACAGAATAAACCTCACCATTTGGTGAATCAAAGCAGTGTCTACTACATACATACAGGTGTCTGCTTATATCTTACGGGTTAAAAGAATGCAGTAATTAACTAAGGTCTAGTTCATTTACGAGGATCAGTATAAAACAAACTTCTCCTCTCTTGGATCCGTTAAATACACAAGTGTACTAGTGCAACTAATCAGTCAAGACCAACTGTATAGTTGACACTATAACCGTTCCGATGGTTTGTTCATTTCCATCTAGTTTGTTAACCAACAATNATTAGCACTCAGCCATACAGCCGACTACAACAGCCACCCGGCCAAATGCAGTAGCTACACTACTGAATCTAGAAGGGGGAACTACCCAATGGTAGCCTAGAACCTACCTACCACAAAGCACACGCTAAACGCTCTCAAAAGGAGAATAACAAAACTAAAGCTCCCAACAGGAGAATACACATAACGCACTCCCAACGGGAGAGAAGGAATAAAAACACAGCCTACACACAATCACGACTCCTAACACCTAAACCAAAAACAACAAAATACACCACCCTTCCGCAGCCGACAACCACACCAAGCCAACCAACGGAGACGCCAATGGACAACCGACCACACAGACATAGCTAAGGTCCAGGAACCCAAACCAGAAACTGCCAAACTAACGCCTAACTGGGTCGGACGCCAACGAACCCAAACCACACCCAGACGGATTTTCATCTAGGTTGTGAGCCAATTATTTATGTTTCGCAAGTAACTGATAAAATGAGCTTTTGTCCATCTGTTTTGAACCACTTTATCTAAGTGAAAAACAACAGAATAGAACTTGTTTAATCAAACATGATTCTCATTCAACAAAAGTAGTGTAAATAACATTCAAAACCAAGCTTTCAGTATATACACTAACAATTGTTATATTGAAAGCTTTGCTTTATTGTAAACAAATTCCCAATTTTGAATGAGAATTGAAATTAGTCAAAAGTATTTTTTTCTATTACTTTACATTGTAGATAATATGGTTCATCGTGTTAAATACAAAATCTTATTATCAATTCCTTGTAAAATATATAGTTTGTTCACAACCTAGATAGAATTGAAATATCGTTAACGGTTGTAGTGTAATTATGAAATTAGTTGATCTTGACTAATGAATTATACTAGTACACTTTGAATGTATTAAATGAATCATGGAGGATAAGTTTATTTTATACTGACCAAATAAATAAACTAGACCTCAGTTATTACTCATACCTTAATCCGTAAGATAATAACGGCCACGTGCATTCAATAGTACTTCTTTGATTCACCAAAAAGTGAGGTTTATTATGATAAATCAAATTGTCTAGGTGAGTTGAGAAGTAATGAGATTTGTATGGTGCGTTGTTCGATTATTTATTGAGATTATGTCTTGGTGTGCCATCTTGATGATGTCTTCGAAATAATCTCAAGAGGATTATTATGCTAAATCATGAAGGTGGATTAAGTTTCGACATAGTAATAAGGTTGAGTGTTACTAATAACAATAAAATAGATTAAAGTTCTCCCTTTCCACCGTCTAACACATCGTCACTACTGCCACCACAAGCCGTTAGCCGAAGAAAACCATCTAATAAGTGCTCCACGATCAACGGACACAAACACGCACACATATTGGACATTCACCCCCAACATGAAAAGGACCACAAATCAAATTTCACGACTCCGAAACTCCAAATGGTCAACGGTTAGATAGATCCAAGAAATCAAACCAGATCTAAACCCAAACCCAAAGGAAAAAAAGTGAAGGGGGACCAACACCAAAAATCTCTAGACTCAAATGGCAGCCGGAGAAGTGCAAGAGGAGAAAGAGAGGCCATCTATAGGAGCCTTGTTCCTTTTATGAAGTACAAAAGAAGATCTTCAAGTTTATTTTATGAGAGGAAAGTGCCGGCCAGCGGGAATTGGGGCTGAACACCGGAGGTTTAGATGTTTCTGGTAGATTAGCGGCTTAACCGCAACAAACTGTAAAAGACACTAATATGAAATATTTGTCAAAACTGGTGTGGACATGGACCACTCATTGAACTCAAATATCGTTTACCTCTTAGCATATAACTGATTGTCCTACACAGAAAATTCTGAGTATTACACACAGTATTACCAAATATTACTTGATGAAATATTTGAGGAAGTGAATCAAGAAGAGAAAAGGATAAGAATAATGGGCATGTCCAAGAGTTAATAATATCAATAAGAAAGAAGTCCATGCAGCTACTTGCCAAGATTTTCCAGATCGATGTCCCAGGCTGAAGCCAACTGAATTAAGAGTTGATCTGGAGTTGATCCTTCCCAGACCTCGGGAAGCTCAATGATTGACGATGATTCGTGTAAATTAAGTAAAATATCCCTCTTTACTTCCATCGGGATACCCAGCACATCAGGACCATTCTCCATGATAATATCTGTCAGCTGAAAAGAAGCAAAACAAAGTCAAGGTACGTATTCTTAGACACCAAGCAAGCTGGTCTGTATGGAACCTAGGAACAGTAAAATGCAGGCCCTCAAACACTTTGGAAAGAGAAGTGGACCTCTTCAAATCACTTGCATAAAAATAAAATACATTTAGGAGTCATTACAAAACAACACCAGAAGTTAAGCTTGATTGCTTGTACACACACAATTACTGAAAAATCCAGCAATCTCACAAAATTACAAACAACACATCAGGCGTATCATAAGCACCTCCATGGTGGTCGGGGTCCTATTGTTTTACGAATTACCCCTCGGCCCCTCGGCTATATGCAATTTGTCACGTAGAAATATATTTTACTACTATTTAGTAAGTTTAAAGCAAAATTCAGAGGGTAATGGATATTTTGAAATACACCCGGCCTTCATAATAAGGGAAAAGCACAACAAGAATAACTGTACTTGTCTTTTTCAATCATGAGAATTTTTCATATTGGAAGATGATCAACTTTTAATTTGTTAATTCAGAACATATGAATTTGAGGAAGAGGCTGATTTGGACATGACAAATTCTTATATAAATCAATACAGATTATTTTATCTTCTGCGGAATAGGAGGGGGACAAAGAACCTTCCCTCTTGCAATCTGAAGTAGAGCCACAACTTAACAGGTCGTCCATGCAGCGAAAGAATAGCAATCTAAGAACCAAAGCCTTACCTGCTGAATCCAGTACAAGAACACGTCATAAACATTGTGGCCCAAGATCAGCAACTGCGAAATCGCATTCAGAACCTCATTTGCCACCTCAGTCGACAGCTGGTCGAACACGGGTCCCGATCTATCCATGAGCTTCATGAGCAAGACATCATCACAGGTTGACAGAACCTCAGCAAAAGCAGTATCCATGTCCCCAACATCAAACGCGGCCATTGCATTGCTCCAAGCTGTCCAAACCGGGTCCCGCTCCCGAACCCCATCATCATCATCATCCCCCAAAGCCTCAGCTGTCCTTTCAGGCATAGCCACCCGAGCACCACGAGTGACTCCATTTTCTTCACCAGCCACCCGAATAGCTTCCAAGGTGGCCTCGTCTTTTGAGGCCTGCCATACACTCCTAGCAGAAGGCCCCTCCCCGAACCTGACGAGCCCTGACCCCTTTTCCCAAGCCCGCCTGCTGCTAGGGTTGTAAACGAATGCAATCAAAGCGAATATTTAGATATTCAAATCGGATTCGTTAAAATATTAGACGATTCGAATTCGTATTCGATTTGATAACGAACTCATTTTTTGATTCGTATTCGATTCGTTTAGAATATTCGAACATATTCGATTTGATTCGAAATTGGTTTTCAAAAAAATATTATAATTATAAAGATAATTTTTATTTTTCCATATATTTTTAGAGAAAATTGTTAATTTATGATGTTTTTACTTTTTATGTCATGAAAATATTAGGAATAAAACAATATATATATACATATATATTATAAACAAAATGTATACTATATATAATTTATAAAATTTATGTAATTATTGTTAACGAATCGAATATTCGAATTGCGAATCGAATATCTACAAATTTGAATTCGGATTCGTTTCTTTCGAATATAAAACATTATTCGAATTCAAATTCGGATTCGAATCACGAATATCGAATCGAATAGAAAAAATTTGATTTGTTTACAAGCCTACCTGCTGCCGATCTGATCGTTGTTGCTCTCCGGTTTATTGGGCCTGGCATCCATTGGGCCTCCTCTTCTGGAGCCCATCTGCCCACTTTTCCCGTAAGGGAAGTCCCAAGAATCTGAACCGTAAGGGCTCCTCAATTTTGTGGGACCATCAAAAGTAGAAAATCTCTCCCCAATGTGTATCCTGCCGTCACCACCTCTTCCTAACTTGCCACTGGAATAATCAGGAAAGCCATTGTACTTACCAAGGGACCTACTATTAGTGGGCACCTCGAATCGCGGGTCACCAGTCATCCTGCCCGATGACTTTGATAAGTCCCGTGCCATGTCCTCGACGACTCTCTCGAGCCCACGTACTCGGTCTTCAAGGGTCAACATGCCGTCGTGGGACCCGCCCATGAATTCCTTCAGTGCAGAGAAG